AATAGAACATCTTTCAACATCATAAAGAATACATTCACATCAACAAAGTCAGAGCATCCAAATTGATTACAAAAAAGAGGTCAAAACTGTTCTTGTCTGCAGACATCGTGATCTTATATATAGAAACCCAAAGACTCCACAAAAACACTATTAGTTCTCCCAGGGTACAGGATTATTTCAATTAATTTATAATTCTCAGCAATTGAACGTGAGGGTTAACTTTTGCTAATCACTGTGTGTGTCAGAAGAAGGATGGTCCAGAGCTCCCGTCTCTGCCATCTTGTGGATATTACTCAGATAGTGAGCAGTTCCAGCACTAGAATATCTTTTCTTGTCCTGTTATAACCAAACCCACTGCCCTGTTGCCTACCATACTTACTCCAGACCTAATATTTTGCCACCATGAATTTCTTCTCTATTTTCATAAATTTATTTTTCCAGGAAAATGTGGAAAGTTTTCTGATTGACTTTTTTTCCGACTCAGTATAATTCCTTGAAGATTTTTCCAGTTGTTTTTGTGTGTCAAAATATATTTCTCTTTATTGCTGAAAAAATTAAGTAGTTTTTACTTAATTCTCCTTTCAGTACTATCACTTTTTTACTTTCCTAATTTTGCAGCTGTGTTGTTTGATACATAAATATTTTAGATTATGTCTTCTAAATAGGTTGACTCTTTTATCATTATATTGTACTCTTTTAGGTCTCTGGTAATTTTTTGCTATGAAGTCTGAATTACATGATCTTAGTTTAGCCACTTCTGCTTTCCTTTAATACTTTAAATAATATACCTGAATTGTCTCATGTGACCCCTAGAAGAAGACTTTTCCTCGTTGACTCTAGGCCAGGTGATCTCCTCATGTGAGAACGTTAATGTCAATTAGGTAATGAGATGTTTTGGAAGTCTTTCCTCCATGTTCCCTTAGAGTTATTTACAAAGAGTAAGCTCTTGTGTGTTCTAGAAATTCAGTAAAATTGCAGAATGAAAAAATTAAGGTACAAAAATCAAGAGTGTTTCTATACATCAGTAGCACATTTTCTAAAAAAACAAAACAATCCCATTTGCAATAGCTCCAAAAAGGTAAAACACCTAAAAATAAATTTAACAAGTAAAATATTTTCATAATCAAAACTGAAAAATACTGATAAAAGAAACAGACACACATAAATAGAAAGAAATTCCATGTTCATGGATTAGAAAAACTAATACTGCTAAAATGTTCATACTATTCAAGGCAAACTACAGATTCAATGTCATCCTTAGGAAAATACCAATGACATTTTTCACAGAAATAGAAAAAAAATTCTAAAATTTGTATAGAACCACAAATGACATCAAATACCCAAACAATCATGAAAAAAAGCTGGTGGCATGACACTAACTTCAAAATGTACTGCAAAACTTTAAGGCCCAAAACAATATGGTAGACACATAGGCCAATGGAACAGAACAGAAAGCCCATAAATAAATCCACACATCTACAGCAAACTCACTTTTAAACAAAGCGCCAAGTACACACTATAAGGAAAGGGCAACCTCTTCAATAATTGCTGCTTGGAAAACTAAATACCCACATGCAGAAAAATAAAACTATACCCTTGCCTCTCACCATATAAAACAACTCAAAATGGATTAAAGTCTTAAATGTTGGATGTAAAACTACAAAAATACTGTAAGAAAACATAGGGAAAAAGCTCCATAGGCATTTGTCTAGGCAAGGACTTTTTGCATAGAACTTCAAAAGCATAGGCAACCAAAGAAAATGTAGACAAATGGCATTACGTGCAACTGAGAGGCTTTTGCCTGTCAAGGGAAGCAATTAACAGAGCGAAGAGACAACCTACAGAAAGAGTTATATTTGCAAGCGACACTGCTGATAACAGGGCTAATACCCAAAATACATAAAGAGCTCAAGCAACTCACAAATAACAACAAGCCCAAAAACTGTAATTTACAAATGAGCCAAAGACTTAGATAGACATTTCTCAAAAAAAGGCATGCAAATGGCCAACAGAAATATGAGAAAATGCTCAATATCACTAATCATCAAAAAAGAAAATGCAAAATAAGTTTATAAACACATAAAAAAAGCTCAATATGACTGATCATTAAAGAAATACAAATCAAAACCACATTGAGATACCATCTCATACCAATCAGAATAGTAATTATTAAAAAATCTGGAGACAACAGATGCCAGAGAGGATGTGAAGAAATAGGAACACTTTTACACTGTTGGTGGGAGTGTAAATTAGTTCAACCATTGTGGAAGACAGTGTGGCGATTCCTCAAGGACCTACAAATAGAAATTCCATTTGACCCAGCAATCCCATTACTGGGTATATATCCAAAGGAGTATAAATCATTCTACTCTAAGGACATATGCACACAAATGTTCACTGCAGCACTGTTTATGATAGCAAAGATCTGGAACCAACCCAAATGCCCATCGATGATAGACTGGAGAGGGAAAATGTGGTATATATATACCATGGAATGCTATGTAGTCATAAAAAGAAATGAGATCATGTCTTTTGCAGGGACATGGATGGAGCTGGAGGCCATTATGCTCAGCAAACTAATGCAGGAACAGAAAACCCAATACTGCGTATTTTCACTTACAGGTGGGAGCTGAATTATGAGAACACAAACTTGGGCATGTCAGAGGGTAGGGAGCCTGGAGGAGGGAGAGGATCAGGAAGAATAGCTAATGGATGCTGGGCTTAATACGCAGGTGATGGGAAAGTCTGTGTAGCAAACCACCAAGGCACACATTGACCTGTGTAGCAAACCTGCACGTCCTGCATGTGTATCCTGGAACTTAAAATACAGCAAGGCCGGGCGCGGTGGCTCAAGCGTGTAATCCCAGCACTTTGGGAGGCCGAGGCAGGTGGATCACGAGGTCAAGAGCTCGAGACCATCCTGGTCAACATGGTGAAACCCCGTCTCTACTAAAAATACAAAAAATTAGCTGGGCATGGTGGCACGTGCCTCTAATCCCAGCTACTCAGGGGGCTGAGGCAGGAGAATTGCCTGAACCCAGGAGGCGGAGGTTGCAGTGAGCCGAGATCGCACCATTGCACTCCAGCCTGGGTAACAAGAGCGAAACTCCGTCTCAAAAAAAAAAAAAAAAATACAGTAAGATAAAATATCAAAAAAGATGCATCAAATTCTTAACAGTGGTTTTTTTGAGGAATATGTTTATGGGAGTTTTCAATTGTTATAAATTTAATACTCATCTCTGAATTGTTTAAATTTTACACCATGAGAATGTGTTATCAGGAAAAATAATAAAAAGATTTCCATTTAAGGAAACAAAGAAAATGCACATCAAAACCACAATGATGTAATGTGTCACTTCAGTCAGAATGTCTCCCCTCAAAAAATAAAAACGTAACAAGTATTCTTACTATGGAGAAAAGGGAGCACGTATACACAGTTATAGAAAACAGTATAAAAGTTCCTCAAACAAATTTAAAAGAATTGTCTTATGATCCAGCAATCCCACTACTGGGTGTATTAGCCAAGAGAAATAAAATCAGTATGTCCAAGAGATATCCGCACTCCTATGTATATTATGTTAGGTGAACTAAGCCAGGCAGAGAAAGAGAAGTACCACTTGATCCCACTCATATATGCAACTGATAAACTTGTTCACACAGAACTAGAAAGTAGAATAGTGGTTGCCAGAGGACAGGGAGGGGAGGGCGCAGGGGATGGAGACAGGTTGGTTAATAGGCAAAAAATTACAGCCTTTAGGTGACAGAGCTATGTGAATTTAGAAGCCTTGAGATACAGAGGAAGATGTGGACTCAATCATTTGTGATGAGTCTACATTTCCTGGGCCAAAGTTGAGCCCCAGTGTAGAAGAGAACTCAGGTGAGCCTATCTAGAGCCTGGTCAAAGACAGAAGCTTCATCAAGATGCTGTATATGGCATGTGCTGGACACACATACACACATAGGTGGAGGCTGAGCTATGGAGATTCTGCAAAACTCAAGTCCCAGCTTACAGGAACAGATTTGGGTAGGTCACTCTTGAGACTCTGTGGTGTTGTTGATATTGGAAAACCTAAGAAGGGCTCTGCCCAACAATAGGACCATTGAATTTATCCCATGGAATATACTGGTGACCTTGAATGTCTACTCTAGTGTAGTAACTTCACTGCCTCATGACTCATCACATTTATTGCCGCCTCCATGATATTTCCTCTGAATCTTATATGTTCTATTCTTTTGAGCGCTTTGTATTTCTACTCTGATGTCAAAAGTTTTCAGTCTTCTCCCCAACAACTATTATCCAGATGCACTCCTCTGCCATCTCTCTCTGCTGCAGTGAAGGACACCCCGTCATGAAGATACTCACACGACACACTGTCCTCATCCTGACTCCCCTTTTCTCTGCACCTAGAGGCATCAGCAAGTCCCATGGTCTCTACCTGCAGCTCAGGTCCTGGGCCCAACCCCATCTCTCCATCTCTACCTCCACTGCTTCCTGTAGTCTAGTCATCATCATCCTCGGCCTCAATCACTGTCACAGTCTCCCATATGGTCTCCCTACTTTACCCTATTCCTCACATGCCAGCCTCTGACCTTTTATATTAAAATTACACTCTCTTATGGCGATAGCTCCATGCATCATCGGACTCCTGATGGCCTTCAGCCACCCCTGCCACATCCTCTCTGGCCATTTCTTCACTGAGTTAGGCCACTCGGACCTCTGCCTAATCCTCACATTCACCAGCTTCATGCCCATTAGCACTGAGTTGGTATTCTTAAGTTTTTTGTAGGCATCTCTAAGGCTGATGCCTCTCAAAAGACTTTGTCTACCCTGACATTCTCTAAAGATAACTTGACCTCTGCATACTCCTTTTTGGCAGTACTAAGCTTGTCACTGAGTTGGTGTTTCTCCTGTATCTGTGAATCCAGTGTTTTCACAAGCTGCTTTTTGTGTCTTCCATAAAGTTGACTAATAATGGACTGACCCACCAATAAGCCGATGAGAGATGGACACACCAGTGTCTTTTCCTGAAGAGAGCAAGAGGAGAGTCGTGGACTCAGGTCAGGGGACAGCAGCTCCACCACCATTTTGTCCAGCTTCCCAAGTGTCAGCCCAGGGCGCAGCCCCTCAGAGGATGGCAGCCCCTCCATGGCACTAAAGCCACCATGGGGCACTGCTCAGTAACCACGGATTCTGAAGCCACAACAAACTGCAGAGAATGCCCCAACATTCTGCTTGGAACCCAACCAGCAACTGGCATCTTGGATTGGTCAGTTATATGCTTACTGACGGGGACATTTGTAAGTAAAAGATGCTTATCTTTATTACTGTTTAGTGATAATTCTTTCTCTTTGTTATTTTATATGATTATAAAATTAAACTACAGTAAAATTTGCACATGTAAATCATATGGCTTTATAGATTTTAAAACTATATATCACTTAAAGTATCCAACAAATCCTATAATGTATAGAACATGTTCATTAACACTTAAAATACTCCCTTGTAACTTTTAAACTGATATTCACCCACCCCACCTCATGCAGCCCGTTTTGATTTTTATTGACATACATCAGTTTGGTCAGCTCTCCAACTTCCTAGAAGTTAGATAAATCATGTTGTCAAGCCGAAGGGGCTAACTGTCTGATACACTAGAAACCAATACTATGACACCAGGTTTTTGAGAAAAAAATCTTTATATTGCAAGTTCACTCCCAAGGAGACAGGAGTCAGGCTCTAGTTTGTCGCCCCAATGCTGGTTTCAAAGCAGTGTTTTTATTAGAAAAGGTATAGAGGGTGTATTCCGAGATGAGTAGGTTACTGGTGGAGGGAGAGGGGAGGTTTGGAAGACCTTGGGCATGGGCAGTTATCTTTTTATCCTGACTCATGGGTTGCATGTGCAAATTAGGGGAAGTTAGTACAAAACATGCCATTGAAATTTAGGCTGTAACATCATTAGTTTTTAAAAAATTCTTTGGGCAGTAAATTTAGTGCTCCTTCTCCTATGTACATTCTTCCATCATGAGGAATTAGCGACAATGTTCACTCTAGCTTCTTCCTGATGCAGCTCTGAATATGAGGAAAGAAATTGTTTCATATTAAGTTGAAGATATTCTCTAACATCTGGTTCAATATTAGCATTTTTCGTCACTAGTGTATGCTTTTAAAAACAGTTTTAACATAGCATTGAAAGCAGCGTTACCAGATTACCGCATATACAATTAATATTAACAGTTGATAAAGTTTCAATTTTACTATGCCCTGGAGCACAGATCAAATTCTGTGTGGGGATGAAGGAAAATAAATCTGAGAACCCGCGGATCCCTCCCCCTTCTCTAAGAACTTGTTGTAACCAATAAGCTTGTCTTATTTTCTGGAGCTATTAAAAAAATGGGAATAGCCAGATAACCTAATAGACAAATATCTCTCATATGCCAGCTGTCAACACATTCCCAAGCCCATGGGTGGCTGACATATGGACAAACAAATGTATATGCAGTAGGTTCATATAAAGTCCTTGACACATTCTGAAAATTATGTATTTGGTTTACTGGCAGCAGAGACAGGTGTATTACAGTTTTCTTTTGAAATGTAATTTCTCTGTCTCTGATTCCCAATTTTTACCAAAGGTAAATCATAGTATGTAAGTTTGCATGCAAAATAAGCTTCTCACAAAAAGTTCATTTCTATTACTGCTTCCTCTTTGCTACTGAATATTGGGTCAGCAATCCTCATACAAATTTTTAACAGAGGGTCCTGGAATGCTTTTTCTAGTCCATTGGTATAAACTCCAAAGTTATCAGACTTGTATTTAAGAGTACTTATCAAAATCCTTTTCATGAAAAGTAATATGAATTATAGATGATTGCAATTGTTTTCAGCGAGGAATTCAAAAGAGTAACTCTGATGGCAAAAACTTAGCATATCCATGATTAAAATCTAATGAGAGTTCTCAATTGGCAAGACATTTAATTTTTTCTATTATATGCAGCATTTGGAGATAACCAGAATTATGACTGACAGCATCACATTAGGACCAGCAGACGTCTGTAAACATTATGAAATCCTTGGAATACTTAATACTAATAATATATCTATACAACTACAACTTTAGGAAACATAGTTAAAAGTATGACCAGTATCACATTAGATTTTTGTAAGTTTCTATAATTTTCAGAAAATTTGTATCCATAACATATTCATAAATGTAACCAAAAGAAGATAATATTACTGCAGACATTGAAGGTTCAAAACGCCTGATCAAAACAGAATCACAGGTCATTTAAAAATGATAGTTATGCATTTAGCTACAGTGATAATCGAAAGACCTCAAAAGCAATATAGGAAGTTACACTGATATAAAAACCTTAACACTTTTAATGCTTTCTCAAGAAATCAGAGAAATCAGAAAAACCAATAAAGACAACACAGGAATTACCTTGATAAAATGTAAAATCTTTTATTTTTAGGCCAGTCATCAAAAAGGTAAAGAAAAACCTCCATAGTGTGATTTTTTCTTTTTACAGAATGTTTATTTAGATAACTTGTTAAGTCAAACCTGATAAAAAGGGTACTTGCACTAAAGTAGACACAGGAAGAATGTGTCCAGGGTCATGTGAAAATGCTGTATTATAGAGAAAGGTGAACAAGAAAACTAGTACCTTGAGCAGGGAGCCACATGACTTCTAATGACAATGTGGGGAGTTTCATAGCTACATAAAACAATTCATATAAAAAAGCCAAGGGTACAAAATCACATTACATTTGAAGAAAATATTACTTTTAAGATAAACATTATAGTGTTATACCATAACAACAGAATTAGAACTGGGGGAAAATGTTACAGGAGCTGACAAAAAGTTAAAGGAAAGAGGTATCATCCCTTTGGGAGGCCAAGACAGACAGATCACCTGAGGTCAGGAGTTCAAGATTAGTGTGACCAACATGGTGAAAACCCATCTCTACAAAAAAATACAAAAATTAGTAGGGTGTGGGGTACACACCTGTAATCCCAACTACTTGGGAAGATGAGGCACAAGAATCAGTTGAACCTGGGACTGAGACTGCACCACTACACTCCAGCCTGGCAGACAGAGCAAGACTCAATCTTAAAAAAAAAGAAAAGAAAAAGAAAGGAAAAAAAGGTAAAAAGCAGGAGGACAGAGTTTAAGTGAAGAGTCTTCATTAGTCTTCTTTTTGCTTGCTAGCTTATGCAAGCAGTGTTATCTGAAAATAAAATTATAAAATAGTATCTGGAAGCCTCATGGTAACCTCAAATCAAAAAACATACAAAGGATACACAAAAAGTAAAATAAAAAAAATTAAATCATATTAGAGAATCACTTTTACTAAAAGGAAGACAGGAAGGAAAAAAAAAAAAGAGAAGACCACAAAGCAACCAAAAAACTAGATAGTAAGAGTAAACCCTTACTTATCAATAATAATAAATGTAAATGGAGTGAACTCTCCAAACAAAAGCAGCAGAATGGATTAAAAAAAATAAGACCAACTTATCTCTTGCCTACAAGAAACACACTTCACCTATGAAGACACACACAGTCTGAAAATGAGGGGAAGGAAAATATTCCCTGTCTATGGAAACCGGAAACCAAAAAAAGAGTAGAAATAACTATACTTATATCAGACAAAATAAACTTTAAAACTGTAAGAAGAGACAAAGGCCAGTATATAATGATAAAGGGATCAGTTTAGCAAGAAAACTTAACAATTGTAAATATAAATGCACTCAACACTGAAGCACCCAAATATATAAAGAAAATGTTATTACAGTTAGCTAGAACTCAATACAATAGTAGCTGGACATTTCAACGCGATTTTGGCATTGAACAGCTGTTCCACACAGAAAAGTAAGAAACAATGAACTTAATCTAAATTATAGACCAAATGGAATTAATGCATATTTACAGAATATTTTGCCCAAGAGCTGCAGAATATACATTATTTTCCTCAGCACATGGGCCATTCTCAAGCACAGGCCATATGTTAGGTCACAAAACAAATCTCAAAACATCTAAATAATGAAATAATATCAAGCATCTTCTCTGACTACAAAGGAATAAAATTAGATATCAAGAAGAAAAGGTATTTTGGAAACCATAGGTCACATGGAAGTTAAACAATATGCTCCTGAATGAATTACTAGTGAGTCAATGAAGATATTAAGGTGGAAATTGAACAATTTCTTGAAACAAATGGTAATGAAAACACAATATACCAAAACTTATGATACACAAAAAGCAGTACAAAGATAGAAATTTATAGCTATAAGTGCTTACCATCAAAAAAGAAAAACTTCAAATAAACAATACATCCTAAAGAACTAGAAAAGAACAAACTGAACCCCAAATTAGAAAATAAAGATCATAGCAGAAATAAAATTAAAATTAAAAAATCGTAAGAACCGAAAATTAGAAAAGAAATAAAGATCACAGCAGAAATAAAATTAAAATAAAAAATCATAACATCAATTAAACAAAAAGTTGGTTTCTGAAAAGACAAGACAAAATTGACAAACAGGTTAAGAAAAAACAGAGAAGATGCAAATAAATAAAATCAGAGATAAAAAAGGAGGCATTACAACTGATACTGCAGAAATTTAAAGGATCATAAGTGGCTATTATATGCCAATAAACTGGAAAGCCTAGCAGAAATTGACAAATTCCTGGACTCATACAACCTACATAGGTTGAACCATGAAAACATCCAAGACCAGAACAGATCAGTAACAAGTAATGAGATTGAAGCCATCAGAAAGTCTTCCAGTAAAGAAAAGCCCAGGAACTGATGGCTTCACTGCTGCTGGCTTCACATCAAACATTTAAATAACTAGTACCAATCCTACTCAAACTATTTTGAAAAACAGAGGAGAGAATACTTCCAAACTTATTCTATGAGGCCATTATTACCCTGATACCAAAATCAGACAAAGACATCAAAAAAGGAAACCACAGGCCAGTATCTCTAATACTGATGCAGAAATCCTCAACAAAATACCAGCAAATCAAATGCTACAATACATTAAAAATGTAATTCATGATCCAGTGGGATTTATCCCTGGGATGGAAGGGCCATTCAACATATAAGCATTGTGATACATCATAACAACAGAATAAAGGACAAAAACCGTGTTATGATCACATCAACTGAAAATGAAAAAGGATTTGATGAAATTCAACATCTCTGCATGCTGTAAATCTCAAAAAACCACGTATAGAGGAAACATAACAAAAACCACACGAGAGACACCCACAGCTAGAATCATGTGGAATTGTGAAAAATGAAAAGTCTTTAAGATCTGGAACACAATAAGGATGCCCACTGTCACCACTGTTATTTAACATGGTACTGGAAATCCTAGCTAGAGCAATCAGTGCAGTCCCTGATACAGCCCCCAACCCAGGTGACTACCCTCTGCCTGCCACCAGCAATGTAGCCCCCCCAACAGCACACCTAACACACCCAAACTGTTTCCCTCCCCACACTGTGGGCATTACAGCACCCGATAACACCCCCAACCTGAACCCCCCACCCACCCTGTGAGCAATGCAGCCCTGGAGAGCACCCCCAACCCACCTCACTGCTGCCAGCAATACAGTCTGGGATAGCACCACCAACCAGCTCCCCGCCAAGGGTAGTGCAACCCCAGATAGGGCCCCCAAACTACTCCCCACCCCGTGCAGGCAGCACAGCCCCGGATAGTGCACCCAAAGAGCCACCCAAGGTGGACAGTGATGCCTGAGGTAGCCGCCCCCAGCCTGCTACGGGCAGTGAAACCCTGGATAGCACACTTACCCCGTTGCCTTTCCACACTCCAGCCGGGTGCAGTGTCGGTTGTGCCAGCGAGGCAAGCCAGTGAGAGGAGCCAGCGAGGCCAGCTACAGTCCAACAGGCTCCAGGCTCCAGGCTCCAGCCTCCAGCATGAGGCAGATGGCGCCTTCTTCTCCAAGCCATGAACTGAGGACCCAGCTACATGGACAGACCAGAAAAGTCTGGAATCGTGAAGACGCTCTTAGCATACTTTATAACCGAGTTTTATGGACTGCCTGTTCTGATTGGATGAGAGAAAACCTCTAGGCCTACTCTCATTGGACTTTATCTTCATATTTTGATTGGTTATCCTGACTTCTCTAATCCAATCAGAACGTGAAAATAAAGCCCAATCAGAGTAGGTCTAGTGGTGTTCTCTCATCCAATCAGAACATATAGTCCAGAAACTTCGCTGGCAAAACCTCAGTATATAAGGCATGCTAAGTCAGTCTCTTCTGGTGTGCCCATGTAGCTACTGCATTCCCAGCTTGGAGACTGAGGCGCCACCTGCCCCAAGCTGGAGGCTGGGCCTGCGGGACTACAGCTCGTCTCACTGGCTCGCCTCTCCATGTCTGGTGGCAACAAGGGACACTGCAGCTGGCCAGAGTGTAGAAAGGTGACAGGGTAGGTGTTTTATCCAGGGCTGCACTGCCCACAGCCTGGGGCGGGTTGGGGGCGCTAACTCAGGGGTCACTGTGGGGCTGCGCTGCCTGCAGCAGGTGCGGGTTGGGGGAATGGTTTGGGAACACTATTCCCCATTATAAGGCTGGGGGCAGTGGGGCCTTTTGGGGGTGCTATCCGGGGCTCTACTGCCCTCAGCAGAGAGCCGGTTGAGGGTGATCTCTGGGGCTGCCTGTGTCAGGGTTCAGGTTGGGGGCGCTCTCCTGGGCTGTATTTCCGGCAGCAGTGGGGCTGGTTGGGGACGCTACTGGGGTTATACTACCGGCAGCATAGGAATGAGGGGACTGGTGGTGCGCTGACTGATTCGGCTGCATTGTCAATGATGGGGAGCAGGTTGTGGGGAGCAGTCGGGGGAGACTTGCTGGGTGCACTATCCATGGCTGCATTGCTCATGGTGTGGGGCAGGTTGGGGCCGCTATCTAGGGCTGCAATGCCCCTGGCAGGGGTTAGTTTGGGGCAGTATTGGGTGCTGCACTGCTGGTGGGCGGGAGGGGGGGTTGGGGGTACAGGAAGGTGTGTGTTTGGGGGTTTCAGGTGCTAGTGGGGGCGAGATTACTCATATTAGAGGGCAGGGTGGGTACACTATTGGGGGCTATGCTGCCCCGGGTCGGGGACGCGTTGGGGGCTGCAGTGCAATCAGTGGGGGCACGTTAGCTGTGCTATCAGCTGCTGCACTGCCTGTGGTGGTGGTCGGAGTTGGCGCGCCATCAGGGTACGCTTACGGGTTAGGGTCTCTGTCGGGGCTATAATGCCCATGGCTGGGTGCGGGTTGGGTGCGCTGTTGGGGACGTCATCCCCTAAGGCTGGGGGATGGTTGGGGGTGCTATCTGCTAGAAACATGCTCAGTGCATGTTTGTAGAGTTGGGGTTGGAAATGAAGCTGTAGGCTTCATGGTAAAGAGATGAGTGCCAGCGGTGTTTTCCCCTCACTATTCCTCTGTAGGAGATACAGAGGGGATTCTCCTGTGTATTATCTGTAACCCACAGTTTCTCAAATAGAACAACAAACACAGATTTATTGCATCATCAAGACAAAGCCCAAAAATGACCTATGGCATGAATGGTCTGGTGGCAGTTGGCTGCAGGGTGTATGCACTGACTACCTCACAATCTCCTTGAAATACGCCCGGGTACCATTCTCGGTACTGGGAACAAACTAATCAAAGAAGACAGTGGAAAACATCTGCCTTGTGGAGCTGATAGTGTAGAGAATGGTGGTGGGGTGGGGAGACGATAAAGTTAAAAGTGCATGTGCACACATAGTATGTGTACATAGATGATGGTAAGTGCTAAGAAAGGAAACCAGGGATGGGGGCGTGTTTGTGGTATTTGTTTGTTTTTCACTGGGAGATGAAAAACATCCCTTGCTGAGAAGGTGAGAGAGTTGCTCCTCCAAGGGGGAGGAGCATTCCAAACAGAAACCCCCAAAGGCAAGGTTCTGAGGCTGCAGGATCCCAGGAGAATTTCAGGGATGTGGGGAAGCCAGTGTGGCTGGAGTCGGTGAATAGGGCAGAGAATGGCCTGTCATCAGATCAGGGCAGTCTTGTAGGCCCTTACAAGGACTTCAGCCTTCACTCTGAGGACATAGAAAGCCATTGGACAATTTTAAGCATCCTGCCTCTGTTCCATCAAAATTACTTTGGCTGCTATATTAACAGACCATGGCAGGACCAGGGGAAAAGCCAAGGGACCTTGTTTGAGGTGCTTAGACTATTTTGAGGTGAGAGGCAATAATGGCCAGAACCCAAGTGGTAGCAGGAAGTAGTTGGATTCTGGATATGTTTTAAAGTCATGGCTGCTGCAGTTTTCTGATGATTTGGATATAAATTATGGAAAAAGAAGAAGATTGAAGCTTTCTTGTAATGTTTTGGCCTGAGCAACGGAGGAATTGAATTGCCGTTTTCTGAGATGAGGAAGACTTTGAGAGGAGCAGGTTTGAAGTAGGACAGTTGAAGATCCGAGGGTCAGTTTTGAACATGCAGTCATGTGCTACCCATTGATATTTCGGCTAACTATGAGCTGCATAGACAGTGATGGTCCCGTAGGTCCCATGTTTTACAAATACCATATGTTTACTATACCTTTGCTATATTTAGATAGGTTAGGTATACAAATGCCCTGGTCTTATAATTGCCTGCAGTATCCGGTGCAGTAGTGTGCTGTACAGGTTTGTAGCCTGGGAGCAATAGGCTATACCTTGTAGCCTGAGTGTGCAGAAGACTACACCATCTAGGTTTGTATAAGTACGCTGTGATGTTTCACTTAACAAAATCACCTAATGACACATTTCTCAGAACGTATCCCTATTAAGTGACTCATGTCTGCATTAAGTTTTGAGATCCTGTTAGACATGCAAGTGGAGGTGGAATTCAGGGGAAAGGTTCAGTCTGGAGATTAAAGTTAAGAACCATCAATGTGTAGATGGCACTAAAGACAACCAAGGGAGTGAGATATGTGGAGAAAATAAGAGGTCCAGGGCTTGATTGTTGTCACACCATGTTCAGAGGTGGGTGAATGGGGAGGAATTGGCAAAAATGAGAAGCTGCCATGAACTAGAAGGAACCCCAGCAAATTGAGGACCTGGAGCCAACTGAAGGGAAGTGAAAGCTGTCTCAGATGGTTCCACTGGTCCAGGGACTGATTCCAAATTGACAACTGGATTTAGTTTTGTAGAGGTCACTGTGACTTTGAAAGCAGTTTTGGTGAAGAGGTAGAGGTGAAAGCTTGTTTAATGTGAGTTTAGGAGAGAAATTAGAGATAAAGCAGACAGCTCTTTCAGAGTTTTGTTATACAACACACCTATGGATTTTGTTTTGTTTTGTTTGAGAATGGGTCTTGCTCTGTTGCCCAGGCTGGAGTTCAGTGGTGCAATCACGGCTCCCTGCAGTCTTCAACTCCCAGACTTGAGAAATACTCCTGCATCAGCCCCCAGGTAGCTGGGACTACAGGCACGTGCCACAACTCCCAGCTAATTATTCTTTTTTTTTTATTAGAGTTGGCAGGGTCTCATTATATTGCTCAGACTAGTCTTGAACTTCTGAGCTCAAGTAATCCTCCTGCCTCAGCCACCCAAAGCGCTGGGATTATAGGTGTGAGCTATTGTACCTGCCAACACCTATAATTTTTTTTTTGAGGTGTAGTTTCACTCGTCACCCAGGCTGGAGCAAGTGGTGCGATCCAGCTCACTGCAGCCTCTGCCTCCTGGGTTCAAGGGATTCTTCTGCTTCTGTCTCTCAAGTAACTGGGATTACAGGTGCCCATCACCACAGCCGGCTAATTTTTGTATTTTTAGCAGAGACTGGATTTCACCATGTTGGCCAGGCTGGTCTTGAATTCCTGAACTCAGGTAACGCGCCCACCTCAGCCTCCTGAAGTACTGGCATTACAGGCATGAGCCACTGCGCCCTGCCTCATTTTTGACTCAGAATGTGATGCAGCCTTTTTTGCTTTTATGGTTCTCTTTGACTAGTCATCTTCTATTTAGCATTGGTCCTTAAAGCTCTGATTAACGTTAAACCTGTGCATGTCTGCGGCAGGTGTGCCATTTTACCACTTTTGGCCTCATGTAAATGACTGACTACGATTTGAGACTCAGGGTAGATTGTGATGAGAAGGTAGCATAGGTCTGGAAAAGTCAAGGGAAAGGGACTTTGAAGTGAAGCTAACCTAAATCCAGCAGAGAGCGGATTCACGCTCTACCTCTCCCCATTTGAAGACGTTCAGTTCTAGTTCAGCTCCAGATAGAAAGCATCTGGCAGGGTGGCAGGGGTTTTAAGGAATAGAAACATGTGCTTCTTTGTTATTGTTAGTGATACTGAGCCCTTCTTCTGATTTCCAGGGTGACCTGCCCCACAGGTTTACACAGCCTTCGATTAGGGACATCAGTGCTATGATTCTGTTATCTGGGTCTGGATTGTGTAGGGGACAAACATTCATGAAATGAGTTTACAGAAGTGTCTCTTGTTAGGGAAAACCATATAGGATGTTACTACATTAGCTCTGTGATTAGCTGATTGGTTATTACCAATAATTTTAATTTTAATTTTAACTTGTCTTTGCTTAAGATGGCGGTAATAAACAGGTTTTGATTTGCCTCTGTTTGCTTTTGCTTAAGATTGCAACACCTGCCCGGTATACCGTGACTCTGGGAGGAACATCCTTCACTGTGAAGTATCTGCGCAGTCATGGCTACATGTCCACACCACCACCCGTCAAGGAGTATCTGCAGGACAGGATGGAAGAGACAAAGGAGCTTATCACAGAGAAAATGGAAGAAACAAAAGATAGACTTACTGAAAAGTTACAAGAAACCAAAGAAAAAGTTTCCTTTAAGAAAAAAGTGGAATAAGTGCCTTATATAACAGTATAGAAAAATTCCTGCACTTTAACCCTTTGGAAACTAGGCAAAGATACATGTCTGATTTTTTTTTTTCCTTTTTTTTGGTTAGTTGCCAAAATATACTAGTTCTCTGAGGGTTAAAGAAGTAAAATACCTTTTTAAAGTTAAATATCAGTAGAAAAATCAGTGTTTTTATACGGAAAGAAAATGAACCCAATATAAGAATTTCCCATCAATAACAGTATTAAGCAGTAGGTAATGTCTTAGAAGTCAGACTTCTTTTTCAGGGTCTTCAGAAGCACGCTTGATTTCTGTTTTGTTGCAGCTGTAATTTATGCTGGTATGCCTGGTATGGCAGCTGACTCCTTGAATAACCAATGTGACCCATAACACAGGCTCTTAATACTGGATCTTAATTTTTATGTTCTTCATTAAGGTTTTAACTGTATTCAGTATGTAATTTGGAGACAAACTAGCATCATCCAAACTGCCTGTGAATAAGAGGTTATTTAGTCTTTCTATAAAAAAAGAATAGGACAGTTACCTACCAGTTAAAATACCTTATATGAAGAAAATAGAATAAAGATTTAGTCATTTATATGTAAATAAGATGTATTGGTTGTGTGTAAATGAAAAATGGATCCTTTAAAAATTATTCTTACCTGAAGCTTGTTGTAATTTTTTTAAAGCAAATATATATGGGGTGATGGTACTTTTCAACTGTGTGTATTGGTGGTGATCACCTCAAACATAAACCTTTATTGTGAATCATTTGTGTCCTTTTCAACTAATCTTTCAGCGGAAAGGTAACAAAATATTTACACCTTAAATTTATTGTTAAAATCAAGTATTTTTCAGCAGCAACTCAAGCTCATGATTCTCAAACAGAAAAAGGTTTGGGAGACTAAAAATGGAGTCAGGTTGTCACGGAGTTGGCTGACTCCTTGGGGTAGGCACGGTCCTTGCCGCAGCAAACCACTGCAGTTTCCCAGTGTCTTAGTTTCAGAATTAATGCTGATTTCCTTATGGAGTAAATTTTTAAATTGTGGCTGCTGATTTTTGTCTTACATTGAAGGGAAATACCCTCACTTAAGAATTCTACTTGATTTTTTTGGGGGGTGGGGGGAAGGCTAGTCTCAAACTTCTGACATCAGATGATCCACCCACCTTGGCCTCCCAAAGGGCTGAGATTCCAGGCATGAGCCACTGTGCCCAGCCCTCTACTTGATTTTTTTTTTAATGACAAAGCTGTCAGATCATTTGCTTGTAATGAAATTCAGCCATTGTCAGCTATGAGCATCGCTGTGGTGGGGCTATGTTTGAGTATGTGTGTGTCTGTTTCCTATGCTCTAACTGCGATTATTTCAGTTCTCATCCTTGAATTGCTCATTGGAGGAGGGAATGGCCTCTTTTTAGATTGTCCTTGTTTTGACTTACCTGCCAAGGCAAGAGAATGTCAGAGTTTGCCACACAGTCCCGCAGGGACCCCTGCTCTTTGCCAGGATTTTTGTATCAAGTACTTAGTTTGGCCAAATTTAGAGAATAGTTTAAAGGGGAAAAAAAACTTTGCAGTTGATGAGTCTAATTATTATTAGAATAGTTTTTAAATGAATATGCCGTGATTGGAATCTTTCTTCCTGGGGGCCGGGAGAGTGCTGAGAGCAGCAGCTGTGTCTGTTCTCTGCAGTCTTGGGCAGGCGGCACTGCTGTCTCCTGATACACAGGGTTGAATGCCCTACTTCACATTGATGCCACATTTTCAAATCTAGACATGATTAACATATTTTAAGTATTAAATAATTCACATTTTTGCAGATTCAAATGCTGTTTTTTAAGATATTAAACACGTTTCTTGTTTCTTCTTAACCACTGGAGACTGCCCATGTTAAAATCTTGTGTTACATGGAATTCTTCTAAAACAATTTCCTTTTACTTTTCATGTTGCATATTTCCTAATAGGGATAAATTGGAGGTTCTTAGAAGTTACTAATAATCCTGAGACTAAAATTTGCTTTTTCTGCGTGGACATTTTCTGTTCAGTCCATTTGAGTTTTGTTGCCGTCCAGATTCATAATCATTTGTGGTTAGCTGATTATAGACAATGAGGGACTGCTCGAGTGATTTGAAATTCTCTCGTAAAAAGTTCTCTGAAGATGTGGGAAGTTCTGTAGTATGACTTGGCACCAGGAATGACACAAAAATGCTGTTGCTCGCATGTTGCTAACCTAGTCCTTAAACAAGCTTCAAATAGTTTAAATGGGGACCCCCTGTAATCTGCTGAGTTTGGAGTATTAATAGCAGGCTAACAATATAGTACCAATATGTTGAGTTAAATAATTGAGAATATGTATAGTAAATATAGTCTGCTACATGTAACAGACCTCATTTCATTTACAGTACATCTTATACTTGGGATTAATTCACCTATAACCTCTGTGAACTGGGAGTAAAGCAGAAGCAGCCCCATGTCTCATGAATGTCTACATTTATATTTATTTTTTTGAGACAGAGTCTCACTCCATCACCCAGGCTAGAGTGCAGTGGCACAATCATAGCTCACTTGCAGTCCTGAATTCCTGACTCAGATGATCCTCCCACCTAAGCCTCCTGAGTAGCTAGAACTACAAGTGCACACCACCACACCTGGCTAAACTCATGTCTGCATTTATGCGAGGTGTGTGGACCAGGTGGGGAGGGAGCTGTGACTGAGATTCGCCTATATAAAATACGCAAAAAGGGTTTGCTAAGCAAACTGATATTTGAAATGACAGATGGATCAGGTTAGAGCATAATTTATTCAGGAATAAGAGCAAAACCAACCGCATCAAAAAATGTATTTTACTGAGACAGCCTTTTGTGCATACAACAGGATGCCACTTACAGATTTCAAGAAAGGAGAAAAATAATGCTTATATTGAGATTACCTACCTCCCAGTAGTGAAAACAATAAAATTATGCCTTCAAATAATCTTGTGTTTATTTGTCACAGACACTGCCTCCGCTTATTTACAAGTGCTTTATGCTCAGGATGAAATGGAGATAGATTCTGGCTCTCTTGTTTCAAGGATCTTAGAAGATAATTCCAGGAATTTTGAAGATCTTTATAGTTTGAGAAAAAAAGTGCTTGAAGAAAAGAAGGAAATTGTATATTCGACACATTGAGCTTCTTTCTGTGTTCTTAGTGTTGGGTTCGGCTCACTCAGGATTTCTTAACCAATTCAGACGTAAACCAGGCTACTGTAGAAGATGGTAATGGTGGTGAAATGGGCAGAAGATGACTTTTAGCAAATGAGGCAAAAAAAAAGGAGTCATCTTTCCTGCTTTTTCTGAAATGATACTATGTTGAGAAGATGTTTTTGTGAGATATGCATTTCTGAATTAAAGGATTCCTTCTGAAAATATAACTTGTTACATAATGTGGACACATTTTTTTCTGTTGCCTACAGTTCATTTTTTGAAATGGGAGCCCTCATTTTGTTCAGATTTTCAAAACTGAGTCTCCATAAGGCCTGAAATAAAATAGATGAAATGTTATCAAAGTTGTTTGCACCCATTTAAATATCTTTTTTGCAAGCCACTTATATTTTTTGGTACTGAAAGCTCACTACTACGTTATCTTTATGAGTATGAAGGTCTCAGTGCATCAGATCATACTGGCCCACATGCTTGAGTGGCTGGCTTAGATTGGAATTTTGCATTTTAATTGCTGCCAATCACTGGTAGAAACTGGCATTTGTGGAAAATTTTAGTGCTGAGTAGTTCAGATTAATATCTGTTAGTTTTCACCAGAATACAGAGGTTGGCCTCTGAATTCCATGAAAATTACCAACCTTAAACCTGTACTGTATTATACACTTTAAAAATGTGCTAGAAGGGTAGCTCTCATAAGTATTTTTACCACAATAAAATGCAAAGCAAACAAAACCCCTGGCCCTTCATACGCGGTGTGGGCAGCTCTGCATTGCAGTACCTGCTTCACAGCCAGGCTGTGCCCTCGTAGTGTCTGTGTGCCGGGTTCCGTGTCTCATGCACCTGATGGACTTAGAATTGCTGTGTGGCGTTTGCCTTTGGTACTCATGGTGGTTAAACAGCAAGTGCCTTGCCCCTCCGTCAGGCTGCTGATGACCCAGCAGGTTGAGGCACCCTGCTACTCCCATCTCCAGCTCTCCTTGGCTGGAACCCTCGCAGAGGGAGACCAGCAGATGGTGAAAGAAGTGTCAGAGTGAGAGACAGGAAGAATGTGTTCTGGGGTTTAGAGTGGAATTCTCTAACGCACAAGGCTAAGTGCTTGCACATATTCCCAAAGGAGGTGGGTGGGCCAATGTCAGCAGAGGGAATGCAGAACGAGAAGGCCCATCAGCAGGAGAGGCTGCCCAAGGGCCTGGGTGCATCCAGAGCTGCTTCAGGACTGAGCTAGGCAAATGGAGGGAATGGTGAGTGACAGTGCCCAGATCCATGTGGGCTCTCCCTGAATCCTTCAGACAAGGAAGACCAGAGGGAAGTGGGAAGGGCAGGAGAGGGTGTGGGGGAAGCAAGGCAAGAAGCCAAATGATTTTGAACCATATGTTGTCCTTAAGTCCTTCTGGGTTTCACATTTTGTTACAAAGTCTGTAATAAACCCTGCCCCCACTGCAGTGTGCTTCATTAAAACAACTGTATAGCTAAAGTAATGGAGTAGAAGAAACAGATGTAATTTATTTATTTACTTTTATGTGTATTTATTTATTTTTTGAGATGGCATTTCGCTCTTGTTGCCCAGGCTGGAGTGCAATGGCATGATCTCAGCTCATTGCAATCTCTGCCTCCCGGGTTCAAGCGATTCTCCTGCCTCAGCCTCTTGAGTGGCTGGGATTACAGGCACCCTGGCTAATTACATGCCTGGCTAATTTTTGTATTTTTAGTAGAGACAGGGTTTCACTATGTTGGCCAAGCTGGTCTCGAACTCATGGAAAGGAAGTTCTGGCCCAGTGACTTGGTCTTTACCTTGTCACTGGGTGGTCTAACCCCCCATGGTACTCATTCCTGGGCATTAAATCAGCACCTATTTATTTCACTGGGATTTTTTTTTTTTTTGAGACAGAGCCTCCTCTGTCATCCAGGCTGGAGGTCAATTGCATGAGCTAGGTTCACTGCAACCTCCACCTCCCGAGTTAAGTGATTCTCCTGCCTCGGCCTCCCGAGTAGCTGGGATTACAAGCACCTGCCATCATGCCTAGCTAATTTTTCTGTTTTTGTAGAGATGAGGTTTCACCATGTTGGCCAAGCTGGTCTTGAACTCCTGACCTCAGGTGATCCACCCGCCTTGACCTCTGAGAGTGCTGGAATTACTTCTCTGGGATTTTAAGCTCCAGTCATTCAGTGTGGAGGGCATTCTAAAGGCAAAGGGCATTTACAAATCTGTCGTATTTAGGCAAAAAATGTTTTAATTAAATCTAGAACATGAAAGTTTGAGCGCTAACAGCCATTGTTCACGAGGAGCCCCAAATGTCAGGCGCTATGGCGTGCGCATTCCTTGGATCTTCACAACTGTCCTGTGAGTAATAGATGAGATTGCCTGTTGCCGTTCTATAGATGACATTTGAAAGCCTGTCAGGGACATAATTAACTTGAGGTGAGGCTAATATTCAGACCACCCAGGTCTGTTAAGCTTCAAAGCCTGTGCTGTCCTTTAACTGTAAGCAGGAAATATTCAAGGAGCCAGATCACCTGGGAATCCCACGCCAAAGACAGCACCTCACCTACTTCTGGAAGCACGGGCACCCGGGCCTGTGTGGAGCGGCCCCATTGGACTACAGGCTTGCTCTAGGTGCTAGTGTAGGTTGCTAGAACATTTTGTGCTTACAGACGACTGGTAACAGTGGAGACAAATACAATGCTGTAAATGAAATGGTTTTGTAAACCGAGGAAGTTATATAAGAGTCGCTGTTTACAGCTGCAGTTTTTTAAGACAAAAAAAGTATGTGCTTACAAGTAAGTCCTTCTGAAAGTGTATTTTTAGTTACCACTCTATGCTCAAAAACTGAGCTTTTGCACTTCTGACATTTTTAACATGAAAATGTAAAGTAAGGTGATGAGGTTTGCATTATTAAGGCAAGAGCCAGAGTCTTGACAGAAACATGACAGTAAGACAAAACTTTACAGATGCAAAGATCTAACTTTTCGGAAGCTGTTTTAAAATGCGCCTTTGAATTAGAATCCATTCAAACAAAACAAGGCAGTGTAGTGAAGGAATCTAATTCGAATGTTCTCAGCAACAGACTCATGCCCTGCATGTGTCATCACAGAGAGCAGAATAGAGGCTGTTATGCCATGGCCCAGGCTGGGTGGGCCTCTGGAAGGTTCCGAGGGATTCTTTCGAGCATGCCTTTCTGACTGTCCCCCCAGGGGGATGGGGGAGAGGGCGGCCAGGTGGATTCTACTCAGCTGTGGACACTTCTGTTTTCAAAACGAATGTCTAAAATAATTGGGTGAAAGAAAGCCAGGATTGCTTAACTGCAGAAACTGGAGGGATTTGGGAACAGTCAGGTGGCACTGAAGTACAATGGAGAACTCCCCAAATTCGCCACTTTTGAGCATTAAGGAGGCCCAGGGCAGGATGGTGATCCCGCCCCCCTCGCCCCGGGCATGGGGGAGAGGGCTGCCGGGTGGATTCCTCTCCCCTATGCCTGGGGGGATCGTCAAGGAGGGGGTTCAGACAGCAAAGGTGTGGGCACTGGACATGTGCACTTGCCCTCTCTCCCTGCCGTCATCCCCTCCACCTCGCCCGTTCTCTCTGTCGCTTGGTCCGCGCTGTCCCAGAAGCATCTGAGCACGGTGCTTCTTGGCTCCCACACTTCAGCTCCAGCCAGAGCGGGCGGTTCCTTTGTGCACCAGTAGCTTCCACGCACTTCCAAGCCTTTGTTTTTCTGTCTCGGGTCTTTCGCAGAAGCCATCTGAGCTTGCTCAGTCTACAGCCAGAGTGTCTGGGAAGATGATCCTGTAAGGGCACTCCTCAACCGTGGGGACCGTTTTCCACAGGCAGGTGTCCCAGCATCCTGTCCTTCAGAGGCGCAGCCTGCGTGGTTTCTCAGCGTCGTTGAGCCCCTTCGCCGGTAGAGGGAACCAGCTCAGCCTGCACCTTTTGCTGTCTTTTCTCTCTCCGCTCTCATTTGCCTGTTGCCTCTACTAACAGCTCTCACATTCTTGGCTCTGAGACAGCTTTCCAAGTGACAGCCGGTACAGCCTCACAGGGACGGTGGGGCAGAGAGGAGTCCTGTGTCTCCGTTGTGACGAAAAAGCCCCAGGGTTTACTGGATTTGCTGCTTATGGTCTGCAAAGCGGGATCCCCAGCCTGGACTCCCCTCATTCCTTCTGTGCAGAGCTGTCTCCAAGAACAAAGTTTGCACTAGTGTTAGCAAGTCTGGGGGTTATCTTTAATATTTCTACAATTGTCTGCTAAATTAAGAGATGACAGAATTTATCCCAGAGTATGGTGTGGTTTATCAGTGACTACTTGCCGTTTTACAGGAAGGAAAGTTTCCTATTGCTCTCTCTCTCTTCCTTCTTATAGCTCTCTGCGAATCCCCTTTAAAAATAGTCTTGAAGAATTTAATTCAGAATCTAAAATGGGTGTACCAAAATTGGGGCCTATACCGTTTTGAATGGTCTTTTCAAGAGTTCAGTTTCCATTTGCTCATCACAAGTACATACAAATGCAAAAAATAAATGGTATCTGCTGCCACCATGCAAATCCACTTGAGTAGTTTGGTAGGTTGTGTGGGGTTTTGTGCACACAGTCATCATCTGTGAACCCATATCCTTACTTAGAGCATAGAGGTAACACTATTCTAGTCTCTCAGTGTAGGAAATTTAGAGCCTTTCTGTTCTTCTTTATGACTAGAGACTGCCAATGCCAAGGAATTTAAAACACACACTCAAGGGGTCTGTTCTGTTCCATTGTTGAATAGTTGTCATTGTTAGGAACATTT